ACCAAGTTTTGTTCTGACAATGACAAAATAAATAATATATATATAAATATGCACTCACTGGCCATTTTGTCGGTACACCTATTTTATATGTACACCTACCTCTCCATCTGTTTCTCTGCATACTTTCTTAGCCCCCTTTTACCCTGTTCTTCAGTGGTCAGGACCCACAGGACCTCCAAAGAACAGGTATTATTTGGGTGATGGATCATGCTCAGCACTGCAGTGACACTGACGTGGTTGTGGTGTGTTAGTGTAGGTTGTGCTGATATGAGTGGATCAGACACACCTTGTTGGTCCACCTTATAGATGTAGAGTTAGAGATGATAGCTTGTCTGTTGATGCACAGTTTGTGTTGATCATCCCCAACAAATCAACTTTGTACTAATGAAGATATGATGACATTAGTAGATAATTCACTTACATCCTCAGAAGACACGTCTTTCACCAAGTTTAGACTGAGTTCCCTTTGAGTGCTCTTTCAACCATCATCAGATTCATCAATCAGATTCATCAGTGAAGTGGTCCAAAGTGTAACTTACGATACATAATCTTCTTCCACATGATGCGTGCAATTATACATTTCCACTAGAGAGGTCTCTAAATCCCCAAAACTTACATAGTGTAGTTATAAAACTCAAGTGTGTACCTTAAAGAGTAACTACACCCCACTATTTCAGCTAACTCCACCCCTGGCTCAACTTTGAAAAATGCTCAAATATAGAAGGGGCACGCTGAGAGGGTCACTGCAGTGATCTGTGGGATTGGAGGTGGGAAACCGGATGGGCTAGGCTGCTGTGTTTTTAGAGCTAGTGTACATTAGCTACCAGAAAATATGGAGAGTGACAGAATCAAATGGTAGTTTTGCAACTGAGAGGTTTTACGAGGTTGACGATTTTTCTCTACTATCATCCCATCTTCAACAAGGAAAGGTGTTTCTGATGAGGCAGTGCATCTTGAGCCTTAACAGTATGACTCTGACTCAAGCCGCCAAAGAGTTAACGTAGTGCAGGAAATGATTAGCAGCGAGTGGCAGAGGGGCCGAACGGTAGAACTTTCAACGGCAAGCAACACTGGAACTATGGAAAGAAATTCAAGATAGGTTGAACGGACAAAAGGTTGACACAGTCAGTATCAATAGCCATTTAATGTTAACATTTCCTTAACCGTTTCGCTTTCTGTAGTTCCAGTGTTGCTTGCCGTTGATGTCTGTTCAGTGAGTCACGCGCCTGAGAGTTTGAGTTGTGAAGGGAAACATGAATCGCATGCAACACTGGCAGCTTTATGGAGATGTTTGGTCAAACATCTTTATTACAAACTAAGCTCAGATAATCAAGTTATTTACAGTTGGTACAGACTGGCGTATCACAGCCTTGTGAGGTGGTGATGGGGTTATTTAGTTCAGTGCGTGAGTATGGTTATCTCCTTGCTCTAGACTCCTATGCTTTCATATTTATAAGTGTGGCATGAGTAGGGCATCATCAGGGGGTGGTATCCAGAGGGGCACTACAGAGGCGGAACTGACCACGATAAAAATGAAATTTTTACAGTTTGGAAAGATGTGTTCACATTTTAAGCATGGCTGGTATATTTAATTATTACAGAGCAGTGCATTTCAGCTGTTAATGAAAAAAAGGTCTTAGGGTGGAATTACTCTTTCAGTAAGCTTGTTGTACCTTTTCATATCTTAACTTTAGTGTATTATTAAGTATTATTAAAAAGCTTGGAGTCAGGACAGGGTGTATTGAGTCAATGTAACATAAAAATAATAATTCGAACAGAATATGATACAATCATGTTCCTTTAAGGGTATCACCCTAGTGATATAAGGGGTACCATTACAGTCACAGTTTAGTTTATTTATTTATTTTTTTATTTTATTTTCTGTGACTGCACATATTGTAGCTTTTAAGCCAAAATCAGTAGTAGTCAGTAATTTTTGTGTGTGTCAGTGTGCATGTCATATGTATTGTATTGTATATGCACCTTTCTGTTAATAAGCTCATAGGGAGCCCTACAGAGCGATGGTGCTCCTCGCGCAATACCCGATGGGAGTAAGTGAATGTCTAGAAACCAGTTATAGTTGTTTGTCTCCATCTAGTGGCAAATGTGCAGCATTGTTGTGAGATAAATTACTTGGAACAGACCTGAACACTGTTTTTAATATGAGGCAAAGTTTTGAGCAAAGCAGTGCAGAAACAAAGCTTTGAGCCCGAGCCTGAGATCTTTACTGTGTGTTCTTACAATATTGTACACTGAAAGATGTTGTTTTAACCTGGCTAGCTTAAATTTAAGATCATTGAACCTCTTATACTAAGTTTTAAACTTAAGCAACATTCATTTTTAAGGCAGCCAGACTGCTTACATTTTGAGTTAAAGGATCAAATCAGTTTTAACCATGTAGAAATAATCCTTCTCTGATATTGACTTTTTCTCTTTCTTCTTACTTCATTTCACTTCATTGGGCTTAGGGGTAAGACTGTTTTTTTACTGTGCTCCTTCCACAGCAGTTAAATGTGCTAGCAAATATGAAAATGATGCAGTACCATGAACAATAATGAAAAACATGTGTAACAACAATGTACTGCAGCTTATTATGTGTATATTGCATCATATGTTGGTATATATGTATCCGTATCTGTCCTTAACAACATCTGCATTATGATAAAAATGTGGACCTATATATAGGCTAACATACACATCACATCCATACCAAAAAATAAACATGCACCAATAAAACAACAAAAACAGCTATTTCATCTAGATCTAAACTGATTAAAAGGCGGCATGAGAACACACACATATACGCGCATGCGCACGCACACACGCAGACACACACGCACGCACGCACGCACACACAGAAGGTGAATTGTTATTGTCCTTTGTGTCCTAACTGCGTCTGGAACTCACCTGGGGCTGCAGCCTTACCTGAGAGTTTGAAACACACACACACACACACAAACACACACACACACACACACACACACACACACACACACACACACTAGTAAGGAGAACAAACTCTGTTTGTATTATATTACACCATTCAAAATAGGCTTATACTGCATGAGAGAGAAAGAGAAAGAGAGAAAGAAAGAGAGAGACAGAGGGAGAGGGAGAGAGAGTGAATAAGAGAGAAAGTGAGAGATGAGAAAGAAAGAGTTAGAGATAGAGAGAGAAAAATGGCAGAGAATGAGAGACAGAGAAAGAGAGAGATGAGAAAGAAAGAGTTAGAGATAGAGAGAGAAAAATGACAGAGAATGAGAGACAGAGAAAGAGAGAGATGAGAAAGACAGAGAATAGTAAGAAAGAAATTGAGAGGAAAGAAAGAAGAGGGAGAGAAAAATAAACAAAGAGTGAATGAGAGAGGGGGAGAATGAGAGAAAAAAGAGAGAGAGGAGAGAGAGAGAGAGAGAGAGAGAGAGACAGACAGAGAGAGAGAGAGAGAGGGGTGGGGTAGATAGAGAAGAGATGAGAGTAGTAAAGTGGAGAAAGCTGAGCTGGGCAGAGCAGCAGCTGGAGGTGTGTGAGAGATGGATGACGGAGAAGGAGACGGTTTACACACTTTAGCCATCGTTCTGCTGCTGTGTGGGGCTTTAAAACTGCTACACACTCTGGGACTGATAAACACAGAGGGTGAGTTTACTTACACACACACACACACACACTTTTCAGTAATGTGGGCAAGTTTAATGTTAATCCAATTTTATGATTTCTTCAAAATATGTAACAGCTCATTTGAGACGAGTAATGCACACCAAGGGCTATAAGCATGACACACACAAGAGGAAAAAAGGTTACAAACTAAATGTGTTCCTAAAACATCTAGTAACTGATGCACACTGCAGTGTTTTATATTTTATTTTCTTCATTTCCCTCTTAAAGTTAATAAAAATATTAATTGATACATTTTAAATCACTTCAAATGAATAAATAAATAAATAAAATTAAATGGATTAACTACTTAGAGGTTATATTTTAAACTTCTTATTTAGCTTATTATCTAACTCTCTGAGTCATCTAAGTAATGGTACATGAGATGTTTGTATTGACAGTGATTGCACTGTACAACAACTCGTCACTGTGCCGGGACATTATCGTATACTGAGTCACCGACAGGACAGGCTCACTGGGCACCAGCTGGACTTTACCTTACATTATATCTCTCTACTCATATTACTATGCACTGCCACTTTGTTTATACATTTATACGTATTGCACATTGCACTGTCACTTTGTTTATACATCCATAAATATTTCATAATCTATCTATAATAAAGTAATCTTACTTTTTTTCCTTCCTTTAGAGAGTTCACCAGTAACATTTGGTAAACTTTTGTGTATGTTTGTCAAAAAAAAAAACATTCTAATTACATTGAAATGATGTGAGAACAATGTAAGGGTGTCTATATGTGTATGTGTGTGTATATGTGCTCAGGCTGGCTAATGTTGGTGTGTGAAGGTGAGATAAGTGAGATCATGCCCATAGCGACAGTCCTAATGACATGGCAATGCAGTTGCTGTGACCATGTTTTATATACAGTAGTGAGTGTAACACAGTTTCTGTTAATGTCAGTGTAGCTTGAGTATGTCAGATCTACTCCAAAGATACGCTACCATTCAGCTGTTTACTGTTTATATAGAGTGTATATATATGCTAATATGTAGTGCACTGTATGCGTTATGGTCTGTGTGTAAATGCATCAGTCTGAGTGTGTATGTGTGTGTGCATGCATGCTTGTGTGTGGGCAGCTCCTTCACCCTAATAACCCAGTCATTAACATTAGGCCTCAGAAAGCCTCGGGCCACAGCAGTAGAGGACACACTGAGTCTCAGTGGACGTGGCAGAATGACCCTGCTTCTCTTCACAGTTTTCTCTTTGCCTTTCATCACGCTCTGTACCTCTCAGTCTTTTTCCTTTCCTGCTGTAACTCATACTGACCATCTCTGTCTTTCTCTGCAACGTCCCCTTTCTCTCTCTCTCTCCGTCTATCTCTCTGTAGATAAGGTGGATGATGATTTGGAGATGACGATGGTGTGTCATCGTCCGGAGGGGCTGGATCAGCTGGAAGCTCAAACCAACTTCAGCAAGAGAGAATTACAAGTGCTCTACAGGGGCTTTAAAAATGTATGTGTGTACATATCATACACATTTTCAGAGAAAGGAGCTTTTAGAAGAAGACAGAATCTGTCTGAATCAACTGTCTGAAAGTGTGACAGCCAGCTACTATACTGTACATCCTTTAAACGTAGCATTACAACAGGTTGGAGAGTGGCATCACAGCCACCAATCCACACAGTGCCAAGCAACTAAAATAATATGACCAATACAACTACTCCGGGGTGGTGTTTTTAAATGAAACCCACTATTCATACAGGCCTGATAATGGATGTTGGCGTTGTGAAACAGCTGATGATAAAGTTTTTCACCTCTCAGTGGATTAAGAAAATGCCAAGAGGTGAAGTGTATGGTTTTTCTACAGTGCCTGCCCCTGCTGATGGGGTATTTATGCTGGTGTCTGCATTCTGTACTACACCTAAACTAACCTTATTTTCAGGAACAGAAAATAGATAGTTATTTACTCATTTTTTCTGAAGTACAAGCCAATTTTTTTGTTGAAAACATCTGTCAACTGTCCCTGCTACATCCCCACAATGTTTTCCTACAGTTATGGGGACATTTGGTTCACACAAGGACTAAATACGTATGTCTGGCTGAATCCAGCACTGATGAGTTTCCCTCATACTCTCATGTCCTAAGTCTGTTTTCAGCCATATTTTTATTCTCTTAGTTTCTCCTTTATGTTCATTCTAATCAATATCTCTTTCTCTTCATCTTTTCTTAGGAATGTCCTAGTGGTGTAGTCAATGAAGAGACATTTAAACAGATTTACTCACAGTTCTTTCCTCACGGAGGTACGTCTATATACACTACCATTCAAAATTGTACAATCACAGCGGTCATTGGTCAGAAGGCAGGAAATACCCTGGACGGGCTGCCAGTCCATCACAGGACGTGTCACATTCATCATTTTATTATTATATTATTATTTATACATTTTATTTACAGTAATGACTTTTATTGTGGTTTGAAATATTTTAAACAAAACCAAAATGTATTTTTAATGTTTTAGTCAATACTTCCATTAAAACATGTAAACAATATAATGTAATTATCTTTTAATCATTCTCTGTCAATTTCTGGCCTAAAAATTTCAAGGCATTCTGGATGTTAATGTTAATATAACTTAATTCTCAATGTCGTACAGTCTTATACTTTCTTATTATCATAGACTCATCTACAGCTCTGCACATTATTGTTCATTTAACATTTTTTTTGTTTTTGTTTTTTATTTCCCCCAACATCTCAGTTTGCTAGAAATGATGAAATGCAACTTGTGTAGTTGAACAGAATTAGCAATTTATAATAATTTTATATATTTATTTGCACAAACTGTTGAATGGTTGTATATGGGCAATAAAAAGCATCATATTTAAAATAGATTTTTTTTCTGTGTGTTCTGTGTCTTTCTCTACTGTTTCCTGTAGATGCCAGTACATATGCTCACTATCTTTTCAACGCCTTTGACTCAGCCCACACTGGCTCCATCAAGTTTGAGGTGATTCTCTCTTTGTTAATCACTCTCTTTTTCACTGAGCAGATCTCTCTATCTCTCTCTTTCACTGGCCTCAGCACAATCTCTCTTAGTTTATTATCTGCTTCTCCATCATTGTGTCTGACTCTTTTCTCCTCATTCCTTTTCAACTCTACACATCTGATGTTACCTTAAAAAAAGAGTCAAAATCTTGCTTTCATCTCAATTTCTCAGGACTTTGTGACAGCTCTGTCCATCTTGTTAAGAGGTTCTACAAGGGAGAAACTGCAGTGGACGTTCAACCTGTATGACATCAACAGAGATGGCTACATTAATAAGGAGGTTGGTACTCTTGTATGGTTCTGCCCATTTTACACTCAAAACTCATTCGTTACCTGAACTTAATTGAATTACGGAAAGTGTTTTCCGCACAATTAAATGGCTTTCTTTCAAAATAAGGCCATTTTGTTGATCCAACATAATCTACTTTAATTGGCTAAACTAAGTCAGCTATCACATTTCCAACTCAACTCATTAAAGTTGATTGAACTGGATTAATTAGTGTTCATTCAACTTATCTTGGTTGGTTTAAAAGTGGACACTGCAGGGCCCAGTCAGTTTAGAACCACATTCAGCAACTGAGATTGTCTTAACCCCAACAATAATGAGGCTAAGCTATGAAGCATAATAAAAATTCATGCCCAAGAGAAGATGGCCTACACTCTTAAAAAAGATGGTTCTTCAAGGGCTATTTAGTAAAGGGAATGGTTCTATTTAGAACCATGAGTTCAATAAAGAACGGTTTCATGCTTAATGGTTCTTTGCATGGTGAAATAGTTCTTCAGACTGATGTGTTATATTGTGAATGTGTTGTATATATTTATACTGTTTGGAGGCCAAGAATATAAGTCTTTAGCAATTGACGCCTATGCAGTAGGTACCCACAATAAAAATGGGGGTGCAAGTTATAATTTTTTTCCATTGTTCTATGTCTGGTTCTCTTTGTGATGTGTGTGTGTGTGTGTTACTATGTATTGGACTGTACAGGAGATGACAGACATTGTAAGAGCGATCTATGATATGATGGGAAAGTACACATATCCTGCTCTGAAGACAGATGCACCCAAACAGCACGTGGATGCTTTCTTTCAGGTCAGAAACCTTCTACAGTCCATCAAAGATATCATTTTCACATTTTCAGAAACACATTTGCATTTTGTGCTCCCACACAGTGCTGTGAAAAAGTGTTTGCCTTGTACTAATATAAGACAAAGAAAACCATGTAAATATAATATAATATAATATAATATAATATAATATAATATAAGACAAAGAAAACTAACGTAAATACCAAATACATTTTTTTAAATGATCATTTCATTTTTTGAAGAAAAAAACCAACTGGCCCAACTCATTAATTGTGGAAAAGTAATTACCTCTTAGTTACTCAGTCAACCAATTAACCAAAATTAAATTGATATTTGTGATTAATTAAAGTAGACATACACAGGCTTGCACGTTTATCCCCCTGCAACGCGCAATTGTCATTGTGAGCACATGTCTATCGGCGATCAGCGAAACAACTCTCCAACACTCCACCCCTGTTTGCACTTTCTCTTTGTGAGTTGTATTGGCAGACAGCGGAACTGGCACCACCTCCTCCCCTTTTAAACTGACAGCTGGCAAAACTCCCCTGCCACCCCTTTGCCACCCCTGGTAAAATTATCTAGAACCGCTACTGAAGCCATTATTTTCAAATGGAGAAAAATTAAAACAATGGTGAATCTTTTCAGAGGTGGCCAGCCTACCAAAATTCCTCCAAGAGAACACGACTCAACCAGGAAGTCATAAAAGAACCCAGATGAACATTTAAGGAACCGCAGGCCACGCTCGCCTCAGATAAGGTCAGCTTTCATGATTCTACCTTGAGAAAAAGAAACAACCTCTGAAAAAGAAACAAATTGAGGGTTAGGAGTGACCTTGTCAAATTCCTGACTTAAACCCCATTGAGATGCTGTGGAAAGACCTTAAATTGTTTATACTTGAACGCCCTCCAATGTGTCTGAATTTCCTTCACCAAAATTCCTCCACAGTGTTATGAAAGACTGATCTCCAGTTGCCGCTGCTAAAGGTGGCACAGCAAGTTATTATGTTTAGGTGGGCAATTACTTTTTCATATGGATGATGTATGTGTAAACTTTGTTCCTTCAATAAATGAAATAATTTTGTTTTGATTTGTTTTATATTACATCTTGCGTTTATATTACATTTTGTAATATATATGTGAAACCATTTAGTGTGACGAATATGCAAAAAAAGACGAAACCAGGCAGGGACGAATATTTTTTTACTGCACTGTAGACAAATATACAGATGATTACACACATTTCAAGAGATAACAGACAGAAATATGAATTTAAATGGATTTGATTGAATATCTGCAGCAATAAGCAATAATGTACAACTAACTTAATTAGTTTAGCTCCTGGCCATTCGTCTGCTGAGTTTATTGCAGACCTAATCATATCTATCTTATTCTCACATTAGATAGGCTGAACTCCTGAAGGCTCAACAAACTGAATCAGGTTACATTAGAAGTTTATAAAGAATTAAAAGCAGCCCAAAGTAAGAGACTGATGTCAACAAAGAAGCTGCATTTCAAAAGACAGGCTGCAGTCTAGGTGGGCTACATTTCTAGACTGCTACATCACTGAAGGCTAATCAGAAGGACCATTTGGAAACAGCAGAGTATGTATGACAACAGATTATTAAAATCAGTTTGTTTTTGTTAGAAGTGCTAGCTTAGACTATACCTAGACCATTGTATAGCCATCAATAACAGTACAAGTGCTACACAAATGTTACTACATTTTATGTAAAATGCCAGTAAAACGTATAATAAAATATACACTTTAGTTGATTGTTGTTTATCTATTTAAGAGTGTGTAAATTGAATGCAACTACTTTCAGTAAGTCGAACAGTTTATAACTTGCAAGACAGCATTTAATTACAGAAAACATCATCTTTTGCTTGCCATCTTATATCATTCACACCAATAGTGCTTTCTTCATCAAAGTTTGTGCACTGGCTCCTTTCTGCTGATGTAACAAAACAACTTTGGAAGACTTTGTTAGGCCTTGTTTTCTGCTATGCAGTTCAAACAAGGAGACTTTATATAGGACAGTGCTACTGAGGACTCACCTTTCTTGGCTGCAGCCTGGCTTTTGGAACACAGCTAGAACGTGAAGACTTTTCCCATAGAATACACTAGAATAAGACTGCAGCACTGCAATCAGTCCAGTATTTTCAAAGAACTTCTTCTCAGAGGCGTAGCCAAGGGGTGGCCAGGGGTGGCCAGTGCTTCCCTGGAATAAACCATTCTGGCCTCCCCAGTTATGGAAAGTGAAACAGTCAGCCATCATCTGTCCGCCATCATTAATAAAGCATCAGTTATGCTATATGGTGAAAATTTTCCATTGGGGTAGTTACCAAACAGTCATGAGAGTCAGAAGATGCTGCATTTAATAATTAGCGTATCTTGCTGTGACTGGCTAATTTACGCAGCCAACAGGTGAATGAATGTGCACTGGGTCCCTTCAGCAGTGCTGCTCTGAGCTACATTATGCAGTAAGCTAAAGGTGGGAAGATGAGTTGACTATCAAACCTTCGTCAGCTATAATCATTTGTTGTGTTAACTAATAACTTTCTTCAATTCATGCATGTGTTGTAGGTCATCTTATACAGCGCTGTCTGGCTAGCTCTCTAATCATCAGACTCATGTATAACCTGTAGTGAATACAACATAAATGAATAACTTCTATTGCCTGTCTATATGAAAACTATTCAGCAATAGTATTGATGTAATATTTTATTCATGTGGAAATGGCAGCCAGATTTGGTTATGTACAGAGAAAAAACAGCACATTAGTTCATGCCATTTTAATACAGTAATGCTATTTTATTTTATTTTAATTTTTTCTTAGCAGTGTGCCACCCCAATAAAATCTCACCTGACCCCATTCTAAAAGTTCTAGCCAAACCTCTGCTTCTTAATTAAACTGGTTGATTAATCAATAAACATGTTGTGTTGCACTGGTTGTTGGCATTTCTTGCCTTCACACTTTTGACCTACACTGTACCTTGGGGTATTCCTGGTCCTGTACCATCTTATCTCCAACCCTAATCTAACACACCTGATCCAGATAGGGAAGATGTTCAGAGGAATCTGAATATTAAAGCCAGGTGTGTTGGATCTGAACTCTCCAGTGTGGTAGAGCTCCAGGACCTGGACAGGGTGTATATTGTTGGGTATTTCTGAGATTTTCATTCAATTATGTGTTTTCATAATTATCACATGGAGATTGATTACATTCTCATTCTGATCTGCAGAAAATGGACAAAAACAGAGATGGCGTTGTCACACTTGATGAATTCATTCTGTCCTGTCAAGAGGTATCAGTCATTCCCTTTAATCCCGTTTTCTCTACTCTTCTTGCAGTCTTACTGTTCCTTGTATTTGCTGCCTTCTAGTGCAAACATAGATCACTGCAACATGCAAAACCCCTTCCAGCTCTTTCTGAGCTGCTGACAGGTAGAGTTATTCTGTGTCTCTTTCTGTTCTCTGTAGGATGAAAACATCATGAGATCTTTGCAGCTCTTTGAGAATGTGATATAAAAGGAACGCAGGATGGAGGGAGTAAAATGAGCAGAGGGAGACTGAAATAAAGGAAAAATAAAGAAGACTCGTGGACTTTTTGCAAACTCTTTTACAGAAGGAGGCAAAGAAGAGGCTACGCTGTCTCATTCTGTTCATATCACCATGGTAACCTGTAGCACCTGTTTCGGTAGCCTAGCTGGACATCAGTGCTACACTGCTATGTATGTAGCCATGGCACGTTACCATGGTAATATTGATATTGTTGGGTTGTTATCCAGGAAACCTGACCTTCTGAAACCTGTCACTAGACCATTCGGCCATGTTCCTGTTTCTCTTCATAGTAAACATGCTTAATGTTAAAACTGACCAGTTAGCGGTTAAGAATAAGGTGCTTCACTCATTCACATGTGAGGCTTATTATGTGGTCTCAAATAGGGTTTAGAGCACAGTTTCTGAAGATTTAGAGCATAAGTTTATAGGACACGTTTCTGACATTTAGAAAATATTTTAGAGATAGGCTTGGAAGAAACATTTCTGAGGTCCAAGAACCTGTAGAACTAATGATCTTATCATTTTGAGATGCACTGTAAAGTGGCCTATTTACTAGAAAGGGCAAAGTTTGTTTTAGGTGATCAAGACGGAGATAAATAACAAGGTGAAACTTGTGGTTGGTCAGATGAGCTGGTTAGTACAGGACAAATGCCTAACATAGAACCTGTATATCACTCAAACAACTGATACTCCAACCACAGTGTAACCTCTTCTTCTTTTTGCTAGAAGCACAAACCCCAAGTTTTCTTTCGTCCAGACCAACTTTAGTTTGACTTGAAACCGTAAATAGGTCTTAAGAACAAATCTCCAGTGCTGCTCCCATGGCGAGCCCCATGCCTCAAAGCCCTTCTATATTAGACACTTAAAAGGACAGGAGATGTTAAAGTCATTTGGAAAGACTTGGTAAGTACAACAAAAGAAAGTTTAAACATGAACGTCACACTGGCCTGATGGCCAAACCTTAACGTTTTCTTCCATTTGGTCTAAAGAAAGACCTACATTTGCTTGACAGGTGATGGTGTTGCAGCTAATAAAACGTTTGAATGGAACCCTTCAGTGAAGGAAGGAAGCATGTTAGTGTATGAACAAATAAAGTTAATATTTAGCCTGATGTTTAGCATAAAGCTTAATATCATGTTTGGTAGCTTTAGCTTGAGAAAGAGAGTTATATTTTATATAATCTTATGGGATCTTATGAAAATATTCTGAGGTAAATTATGGGCTCCTGCTGCTTAAAAATTAGCATTGCTGGTCTTGAGGTACTTTGGAATTTACCTTAAAATGAAAAGATATGAATAGATAAGCTATCTGTATATGTGGCCATTGTTCAGCTATTTTCTGTGTACTGAATAGGTGATATTAGCTTGGAACAAACATAACTCTAGACGTCTGTCTGTAAGGTTCAGTCGGTCTGTTTCTGAGTATTGCTCCCTATTCTACACCGTCTCACAATACTGTCAAGTCCCTGGTAGTGTGTTGAACTGTATTATTCGTGGAAAATCAGATTTCTGCGACGTTTCTGTGTGCCGCTTGCTTGAAATGTTGAGTCTGGTCTGTGTGTGTTTCTGTCATCTGTGTGTATTTGTGCTACAGTATTGTTACGTTGTTTATGTGCTTGTGCTTGTTTATTGGCCTTAGGTCCAGATCAGTCTGTCTGTCTGTATCTCTGTCTGACATTGTCAGATATTTAGGGAAGTCCTGCCTGTGTAAGTCGGAACTCTGTGATGTCTGACAGATACATTTTGCAGTAGGTCAGAATTTTAAATCACTGTGTGCTCTTTATACTATACATTACCACATTACATCAGTAGTACTCATTCTAAACCTTGTTTTGTTGGTATGTTTTATTGTGTGAAAACTGTGAATTACCAAAATCAGTACTGCTTGATTACTTTATAGCCATACCTCCACACACTGTGATGAGGACCCAGAGAGAGAGAGCGGAGATAGAGAGAATTGTTTACAGGCAAAAAATGCTTTTAAGACTGCAAAAGGAGTAAGTAAGCCATTATTTCAGTTTAGAGACTTTGCAGTAACATTGGACTTCTGTGAACACTGCAGTTAGCTAGTCCCTAATACAGCTGCAGCTAATGCCCGTGACCATGACGACTGTATGTTCCTCACATCTTTATTGTCCTCCTCAAAATTGTAATTAATACTGTTTTAACATGATATTTATAATGTATTGACAGCATAATGTAATTATAATGCACTGTACTGAATGAGCTGTTCATTATGGAACAAAATGGGCTGCAACATACGTTACATGTCCAAAAGAATCCAGACACTCCTTCTACTTAGCTACTTTACAGCTACTTTAATGTGCACCCATTGATTAATTGCACAATTGTAGAATCCCTATAGAAAAGCATTACCAGTAGAAAATGACCTAGAGGGGTATAAAGTCTCCCAGCTTTGGGTTGTGGAGAAGTGTTTCTATGTTCACTAGAGTGAAACTTCCCATTAATACCCCTGATTTCAGCAGAAATGGTGGGAGACCAAGTGTCTACAAGCTTTTGGACATTAAGTGTATATACCACATGTGGCTAATACTCAAAACATCTTATGGATACATAAATATAATTTATATTATTGCTGTTTCTTAAAAATCTAACTGTGTTTTACTCATTGTTAACAGATTCGGCACTCTTAACAATAAGGGTTCTTTAATGGTTCTTGGTTTGAACATACAGTTCTAGGAAAAAAATGCCTTCATTACATTATGTAGATTAAAAAGGTATGTAAAAAGGTTCTTCACACAAAAATTACAAAATTGGTTCTTTATAGAATTAATCCATCTGGAATCACTGCAAAGAACCTTCATGGCACCTTTATTTTAAGAGTGCATACAAAACCACCCACTGTGCTAAAGTGCTGAGAGATGGGCTTTATGGCAAGAGAGAGCAAAATCACCCAACAGCTAGAATTCTAGCTACTGTCTGGAGAAAAAGAACAGCTATGTAATCAGCACTGTGGTTGGGGACGGGTCAAGCCTGACAACTTCGTCTACTGAATCTAATAACCACTGAGTTGTGCTGAAGCAGGATTTAACACCTTCTTCTTTCTCAACCAGTCAGTATTTGTCTTTCCAATATTTCACTGTGAAATTGTACAGAATCCTGGAGTTATAGCAGAACTTACAATGGCTGTTACTTGGAACCTCCAATCAACACACTAACAAATGATCAAGTGTTTAAGACGAGCTACTGAAACTGAGTAATGTGCAATACTCATACAGCCATATCTGCATTCACTGTGACCAGACTCAGCAGAGGGAGGAAGAGGAAACAACATGTACACCATGGGCCACATTTACCTCTCCATGGATTATTTTCAAATACAATACTATGAATTATGTTTTGAGCACAACTGATGAACCAATCAGTCACTCTTTTTCAAAAATACATTGTTGATTGTACCCCAGGCTGAAGCAAGTTACACAGATGGATGAACAGACAGACAAGCAGGCAGACAGACACAGGAAACATAATTTCTTGTTGCTGTATAAAATGATATTTAAAAATAAAAATTTTCAAAGAATTATGTTGATTGTTTTTTTATATATTTTACACCCATTTTGTTTAAATTATAAACATATCAAGAAAGACAGACATCTGTCAAAACATCTTAGAACAGATATTATGATCAATATTATTTACATAACATCGTTTTGTAGATTTTCTTATACACATTTTCCACCCACAGTCCAGACATTTAGAATATAGGCCAAGTTTTTCATACATAGATTTCTACACTAAAAATGTTAAATTTAGTTTAGGAAAGACTCCTCCAAATCCAGACCTGAATCCAGTTTTCAGTCCTGGATTTTGCAGTCACTAGTAGGCATGACAGTAGGTGGCCAATTGGTTACACCAATAGGTCAGTTAATCAAGAGTGAACACAAAATACATGACCGGATGCTGGACTTAAACCCAGTTTCTGGTCCTGGATTTTGTGTCACTGGTAGTTAACTGAATTGCCGAAACACTCTTAAAAAGATGGCTGTTTAAGGGTTCTTTAGGAAAGACAATGGTTCTATATAGAGGCTTTTTGAAAATGGTTTTATATAGCGCCAAAAACATGTTGTTCTATTATTACAAGCTTGTCTTTACTAAAGAACCCTTGAAGAACCATCTTTTTAAGAGTATATGATTACAAGATAAAGATCTGGACTTAAATACTTTTGGAACATTTTGTTTTTCAATAGGAAAAGACTATGTTGACAAAGAGTTAAAGGAATTCTTTCGCACTTTTTTCACAAACATCTTCCAAGCGTACAGAATACAGGGATCAAGTTCATTATTGTGCTTTGGCTCCAGGATTACCACATGCCAGCATTTTTGGCAGTGAACTGTGCCAAGACACAGGCCTCAGCTAGAACTTTAACGCTGCCATTATGGTAACACGGTCCCAGGAATATTCTTTCACCTGCTGATTAGTCACAGGGCACGTAAACAATCAGGGCAAGTAAACAGTTATTGTAGATGAGTATGAAATGTACACTATTCCCATTCATATAAAAAGTCAAGCATGTAACTGAATACTCCACAGCCCAAAAAACTGTGCCAACAACACGTCGACAGGAGATATTGCAGACTAACTACACAGTGATTGAAGAAGATATGTCTCTGCAGGGCTGTTTGGACATCACCATTTTGTTTGTTTCTATGAAGGTTTAGAGAGTCTAAAGATCCTCTCCAACTACTTTTACCTAATGTTTGCCTGGAGAAATCTCCTTATGAACCAAAACTTTGCTACATTTTTGAAAGTATTCTAATTATAAATGCAATGGATAACTCACACATATATAAATGCTGAGTTTTATAACTTCATGGATTAGCTCAACCTCATGGATTAGCTCCAAACCTCAGATTTGACTAAGATGGTCACTTTGCAGAGGGAAAACTTTGCATATTTGGATGCGACACTTTTTGGTGACTTTGACTGCACTCCTGCATCACTGTTGTTTGGGTAATACAGGTTTTTTTAACAGATCTGCACAAAGCCTGTGTAACTGCAACAGAACCTAAGTGCTTAGGATCTTGACCTCAAAGGCAGTTTATCACTGCTAGTGCTGTTTTAGGCCAGTGAAGAAGTGGTGGCCAGTTTGCCTGGTTTGTCCTGGGCCCAGGGCTGCAGGTTCTGCAGGGCATACAGAGAGGAATTATGCACACAGAGAGGATCTACAGACACCGATTCACTGATGGACTTCTGCAGTGCATCAGCCTGCAGCTGGAGCAGCATCCGATTGGCCTGCTGACGCTCCGCCTCCCTCTCCTCAGCTGTCTGTCTCCTGTAGAAATTTTAGAAGATTTAGAGGAAAAGGAGGATATTTAAATTAACTGATGAACAGACAGACAGTCAGAGAGATAGATAGATAGATGATAGATAGATAGATAGATAGATAGATAGATAGATAGATAGATAGATGGATGGATGGACGGCTGGACAGATAAATGGATGGACGGATGGGTGGATGGATGGATGGATGGACAGATAAATAAATAGATGGATGGATAGATGGATGGGTGGATAGATAGATTAACATCCAGATACACACGTCTTGTATTTGAAAAGTAGTGATCAAATCTCAAGGCAGATGTTGTATTAAAGTATCTTATTCATCAAATAAGGATGGCTTACTGTTTCTAAAAAACTTTGAATATTGAAAGACAAATCCTAAAATACCTTCTGGTGTCTAGCAATTATTGAAATGACAAGTGACACATCACCCTGGTATAAATATAGGCCTATATAAATACTGACCTTCATAACTTTTAGTCACCTCAGGGTCATTGTTTTATTGCTGGTTGAAATGAAATCAAATAGAATGATTTAATGATTTAAGGCAGAATCGTTTCTTTCAAAAAGAAAGAACAACAACAGAACGATGTATTTAGTTTTTAAAGAAGTCTAGGGGTAAAATAATGGGTAGGATTAATGCTGGTGGCTCATGGTCTTCCCCATCCTCCTCCTCACACCCTGTCTACTCACCTCCATTTGGTCCTGCGGTTCTGGAACCACGTTTTGACCTGAGCGTCGGTCATTTTGAGGCTCTTGGCGAGAGCCGCGCGCTCGGCGCTGGCTAGATACTTCTGCCTGTGGAAGCGCTTCTCCAGCTCGCAGATCTGCACGCGGCTGAACGAAGTGCGCGGCTTTTTCCGCTTCGGGGGCGTGCGGTTCTGGTAGGGGTGACCAACCCTCCGGGTCAGGCTCAGAGGGAGGAGAGCTGGAACTGAGAAACAGGAGAGAGAGAGAGAGAGAGAGAGAGAGAGAGAGAGAGAGAGAGAGAGAGAGGAGGGGGGTATATTATCTTATATTGTTATATTAGTATATTATTATTATATTATGAATACTAGGCTATGATTTCTCCTTTTCTGAGTGCCGATAACGACAATATCTATCACTGTAAACATACTAAAGTACATATGTGAGTGAATGAATTTACCTTTTGCTCAGCTCCAGTTTAGTCCCTTACAGTATCAATACAATAAGAACACTGTCAGAAACACTGTCACTGCACTGTCAGAAAAGGTACAGCACAAACAATGTAAATGTACAACAAGTCCAGTTGTGAAATTTCCTCACTACTAAATATTCCACAGTCAACTGTCAGTGGGATTATAACAAAGTGGAAGCGATTGGGAACGACAGCAAGTGGTAGTTCATGTGAAATGACAAAGCGGGGTCAGCAGATGCTGAGGCACATAGTGCGCAGAGGTCGCCAACTTTCTGCGGAGTCAATCGCTACAGACCTCCAAATTTCATGTGGCTTTCAGATTAGCTCAAGAACAGCGTAGAGAGCTTCATGGAATGGGTTTCCATGGCCGAGCAGCTGCATCCAAGCCTTACATCACCAAGCGTAATGCAAAGTGTCAAATGCAGTAGTGTAAAGCGCCGCCACTGGACTCTAGAGCAGTGAAGACGTGTTCTCTGTAGTGATGAATCACGCTTCTCCATCTGGCAATCCGATGGACGAGTCTGGGTTTGGCTGTTGCCAAGAGAACGGTACTTGTCTGACTGCATTGTGCCAAGTGTAAAGTTTGGTGGAGGGGGACTATGGTGTGGGTTGTTTTTCAGGAGTTGGGCTCGGCTCCTTAGTTCTAGTGAAAGGAACTCTTAATGCTTCAGCAGACCAAGAGATAATGGACAATTTCATGCTCCCAACTTTGTTTGAGAATGGCCCCTTCCCGTTCCAACATGACAGCGCACCAGTGCACAAAGCACGGTCCATAAAGACATGTATGAGCGAGTTTGGTGTGGAAGAACTTGACTGGCCTGCACAGAGTCCTGACCTCAACCCAATAGAACACCTTTGGGATGAATTAGAGCAGAGACTGCAAGCCAGACCTTCTCATCCAACATCAGTGTCTGACCTCACAAATGCGCTTCTGGAAGAATGGTCAAAAATTCCCATAAACACACTCCTAAACCTTGTGGAAAGCCTTCCCAGAAGAGTTGAAGCTGTTATAGCTGCAAAGGGTGGGCCGACATCATATTAAACCCTATAGATTAAGAAAAGGATGTCACTCAAGTTCATATGCGAGTGAAGGCAGATGGTCGAATACTTTTGGCAATATAGTGTAACTCAAAAATGCCCTATGAGTGAAGAAAATAATTAAAAATGTTCCCTTAACTTTAAATAGTTGAGTAATTAGGGGGATGTATTCAGTTTTATGTACAAAAGACAATTCGTTTGACTTAAAACAAAATGTGGGATTATAGTGTGAAGTTAATCCAATGTAAAACATATAAAATGGAATATGGTACAATCATGTACCTTAACTAAAGTGGTACCTCAAGGGTACCACCCCAGTGACTTAGGGGGTACCACCCAAGTGACTTAGGGAGTACCACCCCATTGACTTAAGGAGTACCACCCCAGTGATTTAAGGGTTACCACCCCAGTGACAGTTAAGTACCTTTTTTCTAAAAATGTATAAAAATTCGGTTATTTGGTTATTATATTCTGTACCACCTGACTGTTCCAGACAGATAGTTTACAAACTAGGCTATACATTCTGGTGTAAATGCATTTGAAGTGGTGATGGAGATTAAAGTGTTCTAGGCCCAGATGGACACCAACAAAGCGCGATAAGCACTTGTTTCCCACGGAAACTCATAATCATTGAAACAGAGAAACAGCAATAAAATCGCGAGGCTACACTGTGACACAACATGACTAAATGCCAGCAGTTTGGGTAAAGGGCACAGCTGTGCGCGCGAGATGATAAGATAATAAGAGAGGATGTGGAAGTACAGGCCTGCCAGCACTGCACTGCGGGTGGAGGAGGACAGCTCCCAGGAGCAGAGGAGGAGCAGCACCGCGGGAGCATTACGCACCAACCCATGAGGGCCCATGGGGCTCGGAGGGCTTATAAACGCCTAAAAACGGGGGTGGGGGGTTCTTTTGCGTGAAGCCCACTGGAGTGAGAAGGGGCACGAGTGAGATCTGCGTTTGAATCAGTGATAGATATAGATTACAGTTCAATATATTAAATATGTTCAGTGCACTATCATTAGGCTCCTTTGAAGCTGCCAGCATTCACTGTGCACTGTAATACAATGCTATCGAAACCCGAGGCTGTATTGATGCCGGCTGAATGGCGCACCACGTGACGGTCCTCAGCCGTGGGAGTTTGAGGGATCCACCCTCTCCAAGTTTCAGGTACACGTCTGTAAAGCTCAATCTCTTTCTTCCTGAGCGCGCGCTGTATGAGGCTAGAAAGTCCATCATGCGAACTCCTGGGATTGTCCTGCTTGGCCTGGTCTTCGCGCCTTGCGGCTGGATCTTGGACCTGACCAGCACGGTGGCGCCAAACTGGCGCACCATCCACAACATCAGCGGCGAGCCTCCGGACCTGGTGCTTCACCAAGGGATCTGGGACATCTGCAGGTCCTTCACGGAGTCCCGGGACGTCCTGTGCAACCACGAGGACAGCGAGTACTTCAACAATCAGATCATTGAGATTGCCCGGAGGATGATGGTGGCGAGTCTGATCGTGACCTTCATCGGCCTGGGCGTGGCCACCATCGGGACCCACTGCTGGACGGACAAGCCGAGGTGGTCGGTGGCGGGACTCGGCGGCCTCCTCATCTTCAGCTCCGGCGTGCTGGCCATCATCCCCGTGGCGTGGTACCACCACATCCTGCCCTACATCAACTCACCGTCGAGCGACATTCGCGTGGGATACTGCATCGTGCTGGGCTACACGGGCGGCATCACGGAGCTGCTGGGCGGGTTCGTGATGTTCGGCGGGATTTGCCAGTGCCGCTATGGGATGAAGCGCGCGGGGGGAGGAGAGCTTAGCCTCGGACGGACCCGCCTGCACTCGCACCCGCGACGTAAGGCCGACAAACCGAGCGAGAGCGCGAAGAGGAGCCGCGCGAGCAGCGTGCCATACTCAATAGATTCAGTGCTGGAGGAGAGGAACTTTCGGCTTGGGAAGCTACCCATCAGTGCCTTTAATACGCTGTAAAATTCATAAATGACCAGTTGTTGTAATGTTTTCCCTTATTGTCTAGTTAGGATAGACACGTGGTCACTTTATATAGCAAATGCCTATAGGCTGGGCTGCACTATAATGGAATGCTGAACCCAGTTCCAAACCCTGCTAGAACAACCAGCAAAACCAGCGTCTGTCGTGTTCTGGGAGCTGATATGCTGGTCAGCAGAAATGGAAGTTATTTATGCTGACCATCATCAAAGCAAGCATATGTTGTGTCTGGGATGCTGGTATGCTGGTCAACAGCAAAATCATGCTGGGTGACCAGCTAAACCAGCACCAGACCAGCATAGAATTCTAAACTTCTTTTTTTTTATCTGGGAAAGCTTTTTAGGTCTGTTGCCAACTTTTTAAGAGGACATTTCCCATTAATGCTATGAAATAAACATTTGTAAAACAATCCCAGTGGAGTATTGGTGTTGAAAGTGGACTAGGGGACACAGTTTGAAACCGTGGTCAAATAAGTAGGATCCTCCTAATTAATAAGTGCACCTGTCTCACACGTCCTGGCTCACAAAAGTCACGTGAACAGCAGGCCATTGATGCCAATGTACGACAAGCCAGTACGGAGCTCAGCCTGTTACAGAGTCATGCATATAACTTACAGCTTTTAACAGCACAGCTAACACAACCTGGTCTGAGCTTCAACTGACCATTTCATCGTCATTGCAGCTCTACGACACACATTCTGCTGAGTTTTTGTCTTTTTGAAGACTGATTAGAAAACAGCTACTCAGAGCACTGTAGATGTGCATGTCTCACACACTGCTGTGGCCATTAGCTGAGATGAAAGAAAGAAAGAAAGAAAGAAAGAAAGAAACAAAGAAAGAAAGAAAGAAAGAAAACACAAAAAGGACACCTGGTCCCTTTAAACCGCAGCGTCGACAATGACCAGCTCAACAAACGTGATACATCAGTAGCCTATGTATAAACTTACAATATAGCTACTAATGCACTTATAATGACAACCGTTTCATATAAAAATGTTCTTTTTTCTTTCTTGCATTTCTTCCTGAATATACAGTGTGATCCACTAGTGAAAATGTTTCTATTTTGCATTTGCTTTCTAATTTAATGCAATGTTTTACATTACAAAGAGACTCTTTGAAATAATTACATGAATTTTAGTATTTCTCAGTATTTGGTCTGTCCCCCTGTTGCTGTAATGACCGCGTGCACTTCAGCTGGCACGGACTTCACAAAAGCCTCAACAATGTCATAAATTTGCATACATTTTAAATAGTCACCTTGAAATAAAATCTTGAATCTTGAATATTTCCTCTGCATTTTACTTGTCATGCTTTCTTGTTTCAATTTTTCTAAATTCTAGAACTTGGTTTTTACAAGTTTAAATAAAAAAATCCAGATTTTCAAAGTGGCCTCAGACTTTCAGATTCCACTGTACATGGGTCATGAAGTGTATCAAAACACTCTCCCTCCCCAATAAACGTGTGTAGAAATGTGTAGAAGACTATACATAGGAAATTTAAACTTAATACATAACATTGACATTAATTAATACTTAGCAATACAACTGAAGTATTTTAAAGAAATATTTGATGAATTTGATTAAACGTGCATTGCATTACGAAGTCAGAAAATCAAAGAAAAAAAGTGTCACAACCAAACTCTTATTCCTCTCAAATGCAAAATACATAAAATATTAGATTTGATATTTGAAAAAAAATGTTTTTAATAGAATATCAGTCAAACATTGACTGCTGCTAGTTTTTTTTTTATTTTGTACACATTTAGAAACAAGTGCATTTAGAGGTAAGTGCATATTAGCTTGGATTGTCACCACCGAAACAAATTTGTTTGGTATTGGCTTATAGTGACGTTCAGTCGTCCATATTAAAATAATGCATCAAAAACAGTACACCATGGTAAAATGTTGTAATTTTACATTTTTCTGTTATTCAGGGAGAGACAGAGATGCCCAAGAGCACAACAAGTTACATGAATATTGACAGAGAATTTCAACATTTGACATCTAATAAAGAGAAACAGGATCAGTACTCATTATAGTTATATTAACTGACATCGAGAAGATGCTAAAAAAAATAAATGTCCTGACAACTAAAAGAGCCCTAAAATGGGTTCTTATTCAGTCAGATATTTTTATTACTGATTTTCTGTAATGTTGTGGTCCTGACAAATTTAGACAAAAGCCTAAACTATGTAAAATAATTACACGAACAGATTTCAATCAATGCTCAGTGAATTTCTAAATTATAGTTAGTAAGAAACAAAAAGGTAAATTAATTTTAATACGAAGTGAACACATTTTTCAAACATTTTTCTTATCCATAATTTGAAGCACTTAACTGTGTAGAACCCATATAATTTTATTTACTTTTTAATTTCATTCTGTCCTATTCACTGTCCTGCAGTAGTGGGGCTGTAAACTTTAGATGTTACTGAGCAAAACCTCGGTGGTGAAACTTAGTATTCACTTCAAATTCACATCAAACTTCACATTCACATGAAATAGAGTTTAAAAATGTCTGATCCCTTTAATCTGCAGTGTGGGAATGCAGAGGCGTCTCTGCAAGATGAAGAGCGGATGCTGAGAGCCACTGAGGATGACCAGAGGAGAGCCGCTGCTCTTTTACTTACAAGAAAATGGTTCTAGTCAGTCAAGCTCACCCAATCGCTGGGAAATTTATTCTAAATTCTTAGCAAAAAAGGTTCTATATACCTACTGAAAAGGTGTTGTCTGGCTCGTAATAAGAGTGGAACCCTTTTTATACTAAATAGAAAAAAAGGTATACACCATAAACAGCTAGTTAGAGAAGAGCCGCTGGACTACGCAAAGAAATATTTATGCATTCAAATGGTTCTTTGAGTGTTCAGGGTTCTATAAAGAACCATCGCCTTTTCTAAAGAACCTTGGAAAAAGCATTTTAAAGAGTATCTTCTTCAAATTCAAGTTTATACGGACATGATCTCAAATCTAAGCAAACCAAACAAAATTCCTGTCTATACAGACAGGACCTTTCTAATTATTCCCTGGCCTCTAGGAGGTGCTACGACCCCCAACTGAGAAAACATGCAGGTTTGGAAGGAACAATTCTCCCGCAAACGCTGAGGAAAAAGAGCTGACGGTTAGTGTTAATCTTTAATCTGCCTTCATCATAACACCCTACAGAGTCACATGTTTCTGACCCACACTGTGATCTCTGAGACTGAACTGCAGTGTGCTGACCACAACTAATCTTCTTTCAGACGACATGTCCTCTGTTCAGAATAGCGCTCTCACTCAGACACTCCTCTGAGGGTCACTTACATTCTCTGAACAAAAAGAAACGCACATCAGCGAGTGTCCTTCATCCGGGTTCCTGAAACAGCTCACTGCTGCGCAATGCCGTCAATCACAGAGCATCAGAAAATCACAAGCATCACTGTGTGTTTGACAGGAGTTGCTGGAGATACTTATTTCCTGAAGTACTTCTCTTATGGTCAGAGCCCGCGGTGCCCTACACTGACCCCCACTGTACAATTCCTGAAGTAGGCTACTCACTTAAAACAGATGGTTCTTCAAGGGTTCTTTGGAAAAGACAATGGTTCTACATAGAACCACGAACACTCAAATAACCATTTGCATGCTTTGATGGTTCTATGCATAGTAATGGTTCTTCAGATTAATGGAGACTGTGTTGCACATGGTTTTTAATAGAATATATTTTAAAATGTTTCTATATAGCACCAAAAAGCGTTCTTTCACTGTTACGATGTCAAGCCTTTTTGGTGCTATAGAACCATGGTTCTACATAGAACCATATACAACACATTTTCCATCAATCTGAAAACCCATTTCTCCGTGAAAAGAACCATTCAAGTACGCAAATGGTTCCATATAAAACTCTTGGTTCTTAACAGAACCTGTGCATTTACTAAAGAACTCTTTAAGAACCAACATTTTTAAGTGTTATATGTCTGATACAGGCTAGCAAACTCACACGTCAGGAAATCACATGGAAACGTCACCATTTACCAAAGTCACTACCATGAACAATTAATAATAACCTATAATCCCAATTGGAATTGGCTCTGTTTTTAAATCTGATTAAACTAATTTAGATGAGTGTGTTATGATAAATGTGATGCTCGCTGATAAGTCTTTCCTGCACTCTCCGTTTAATTCACCTGAGGAACATTACTCCAATGGTAATGTTCAGCGATACATTCACTGCATCAACAAACAGAATATAAAGACGAGCTAATACAATATAAACAACTGAGCACATATATAAATCAAATCATTTCACAAAGTAACAAATACAAGTTTTTTTTTAAATGTACAGGTTTTTAAAAAAACTGCTTCAATATTAACAACAAAACAGCATTATTATTGTGTTGTTATTATTATTATTATTATTATATTATACATTAATTTATTCTAAGATTAACATCGTTTAAATATTTAATGTTACAAATAACAAACATTTTCATGTTCATGTTTCATTTTTATCATTTACAACGATTGGCTTTTATTAGGCTGTGTTATGACCTTTTTTTCTCTCGTGCACTACAGAATTCCTAACGAGCGTTAGGAAAGTGTTCAGCGGGCATTAACATCCACTAAAACGCGTTACAGTGATTTGTCTTGAATGCTACCAGCTGACTGAAGCTTTGATGTGTATTTAATAGAGCCCCGCGCTTTGGTTTACCTGTCAGTCTGTCTTTGGCGGTGAATCTGCGGCTGTGATCCACCCAGGGGAAGCAGAGCGCCCCGAAGCCCCCCGCCGCCGCTGCTGCTGCTGCTGCTGCACTCACCATAGGCGGCGGGACGGCGGTGGTCAGCGGCCTGTGAGCAGGAACCCTGATCACCCCCCGGTGACCCATCGCTCTGCTGCCCCCATAGAGCCCTGAACCCTCCAGAGGACCCGGCACAGCGACCCTGGCGGCGCGCAAGGAGGTGAGGGGCGCTGCGGTGGTCCCGGCCGGACTCCCCGGGGCGCTGTCCGAGGAGCCCAGGATCTGGTCGATGCCGAAGCGAATGGGCTCGTGCGTGCTTTGACAGGACTGCTCAGGCCTCGGGCTCTGGGCGCGTTCCATGTTGCCCCTTCGCATTTGGAAGAAATTAAATCTAATCACGCAAAATGGGGCGGAATCTGCATCGATTTATGGCCATGATGTTCGGCCCTCTCATGATCTTGGCGGTCCTCTTGTAGCAGCGCGTGTCCCGTCACATCTCGAGGAGCTCGAGATTGCTTTTCTTCTCAAACTGTAGTTTTTCCCTCACGTTGTCCTTTCCCCACCCGTATTCAGACACGCCCCGCCCCCTGGTCTGGGACTGGATTAGATGGACCACTTGTGAGTATGAACTATTAACCAATCCCAGCGCAGGCGGGCGGAGCTTATCGAAATGCGGGTGGGAAATAAACAACGCGCATTAACCAGCCCAAAGTCACCAAGTACTGTTTTGATTGGTCGAAGACGTCAAATACCTTCGTCCTGCTATTGGTTTAAAATTATGGCCTAAAATACATTCTTAAAAAGATGGTTCTTCAAGGGTTCTTTAGTAAAGCCAGTGGTTCTATTCAGAACCATGAGGTCTATATAGAACCACTCCTTGCTTGAATGGTTTTCAGCATGACGAAATGGTTCTTCGGATTGATGGAGAACATATTGTAGCCTTTATGGTTCTATAAAAAAGCTTTTTGAAAATGGTTCCATATAGCATCTAAAAGGGTTCTTGACATCGTAACAGTAGTAGAAAGCTTCCACATAGAACCATATACAACACATCCTCCATTAATCTGAAGAACGATTTCAGCATGCAGAGCACCATTTAAACATGCAATCGTTCTATGATTCTAAATAGAACCATTCCTTTTGGTAAAGAACCCTTGAAGAACCAGTGTAGATTCAGTAGAAAGCGACTTATCTTGCTAACATTGTCGGGGTAATATAGTAAATCTCCAGCACTTTTGATTAATTAACCATTTATTTTTGCATTTCTTTTACACATTACGAATGTGTTCTGCACAGTCTGATCACAAGCTGATAAAATACGGTGAGCAAAGTGATGAATGGTCAGTTCAATCTCATGTATTTGGCTTTTACTAGAACATTTATTTGTTTTTTTATCAAAAGCACACAGCAGCACGTCTCTATACTGTCGTGTTTAAACGATTACTCTTATGCTATAGAAGTAAAAAGTCCCTGTAAGGAGTTTTATCTTTTTAATATTTAATAATATTATGTAATTACTTGTTTACGTCCTTACTGAAACCGAGGGCTTTAGTCGAGTCTGTGTGAATGAAGAGCAGCTCTCCGAGATTAATTCTTTGAACAGAAGCTCTACGAAGCGTGGATTGTCGTTCAGAAGCTGGATACATGGATAAATAGATTCTCATGGATAAATCCTCTGATGCTGACTGGAGGTTCTGCTGTTATTTTCTGATAACGCAGCTTCTCTTCATTAAAACGCCATAAGAGACCAGCACACCCTTCACTGTGGATACCTGTGGACCACTGGGCAGGGGGCGAGGGGGGCTCAACAGGCTGAAGGTGGTCCTTAATCTGAAACTTATGCACCACCATCATTTTCTCCAGCTTTATTTCTGTCGGCTGTTACGCTGCGCAGTAAATCACATAGTTTATAAATCTTTACTAAACTTGCTGCAATTTCCAAAGATTCTCTAAATTAGCCTCTTAGCTGTTTTAAGAAATTAAACGTCTTGTTTATTTAGGCTATTAATTATTTTATGTTTAACCAAACTGCCTGATTATTTCGTTTAGTCTATTCTATTATTGTAATTTATACTTATATATACCCCGGAATTTAAACCGGTGTTTTGTGTGTGTGTGTGTGTGTGTGTGTGTGTGCGTGTGTGTGTGTGTGTGTGTGTTAATATGTGAGTGTACTCAGTGCCAGTGTGTGAAAGCTCCAGCGCTTTTTTACAGGTTATTGAGCATAATTGACTGGTCAGTGCTGTGTGGACAGTCTCTCTCTGGGTGCCAGTGCTGCTCCTCTCCGCTTAATGCCCCTTTGGCCGCTTTGCTGCGCCATATGTACCATCAGCTCCTCAGGGACGAAGTCCAGACTTCTCCACATTTGTGTGAACTGCTGTTTCCTCCTATTTGCTTTTATTGTTTGACGAGTTATTTTGCTTGTTTTTGTACACACAGCAACTGAGCTCCTGCTTTAATCCAAATTGAAATTATACAAGCGTTTAAAAACGGGCACTTCGTTTCTAATCTTCTATTTATGTATTTGATTAGTCTTATTTTCTCCTATTACTGCACCTATTAATAGATCAATGTTTCCTTTTAACGAGGATCATTGATGTATTATTAGCTTCAATAATAGGAGAAAATAAGACCAATCAAATACATAAACATGGGATTAGAAACAAAGTGTCTGGTTTTAAACATCTTTAACAAATCCCGGGAAAACACGAAATGTGGCTATTTAATGTCTCTCTCTCTCTCTCTCTCTCTCTCTCTCTCTCTCTCTCTCTCTCTCTCTCTCTCGCACACACACCCACACACACCCACACCCACACACACACACACACCCTAAAGGGAAATTTAGCATTCAAGTAATGATATGCTCATGCACAAGTACCCTTTGAAAAGAACTGGAAAAAACTTATTTGAGCTGCACAATTCGACCTTAAAACCACTGTTGTATATTTGAGGGTACATTGTTTTTCGTTATTTCTAACTAACTAACTAACTAACTATATAAGATTTATTATGACAAAAGTATATATAATAGTACAAGTACATAAGTAAATTTAATTTAATTGTAATAGTAATATGACCTATATGTGTGGTGACGTATATCACACATATAAACACACAAATCTGACTTTATTTTCTTCTCAGGACCATTTTGGTTCCTGGTTCTGTTTTTTTCAGTTTTTCTCTGCTTTTCCATATTGACGAAAATGAACGAAAGCAAACACATTCCCGTGTTCTCGGAGACAAAGCGTCCCTCTGTAAATCAGTGGTTCGTTGGTGTTGCTGATGCTTCAGGTGTCTTCAGCTGGTCTACTGCTCCCGTTACTGTGTTCAACTTATTCCCCCAGCAGTGCGCTGTGATAACGCCTTTCAGAAAACAGCCCGCCCCGAGGGCAGAACTGCGTCTTCATCTCACTGTACACACTGCTCCGCTGTGGCTGTTTTAATGTCACTGCAGACCTCTATTAATAACGGCTCTCCGCTGAAGCTCTGTGCTTTATTGTGCTTATATCTTTATTTATATGCCTTTATTGGCGGTATTTTTCAGCGCGCGTGTACAGAGAAGTGAATCAGCGCTTCAGACGCGTGACGCGCAGCGGGAGCGCCTCAGATCCATCACTGCATCCTCACATTAAAAGCTCTGTTCTCCGGAGAAAGCGGGACGGCTAAAACGGGAGAATAAAGGAATAAAAGGGAGCGATTTGTCTGGGAAATTAGCCCCGCATTTCCATAATGGCGGCTGCGGCTGGAGGCCCGCGGGCTCAGCCTTTATTGCGCGTGTCTAAGCTGTTATCAATTTCCCAACTTTTTTTCCCCTCCAGACGCGGAGACAGACGCGCGTGGGCTTCAAACCACAGGGTGGGGGGATGGGTGAAGCGACAGAGGGTATGAAGAGCGAGGTTCATACCTCCCAAACTGCAGCCAAGACACACTGATATGAATTGAAGGCGGTAAGTAATAGCGCATTTAAAAAAGCACCTACCATGTTTTTATTAAGATGTACACTTTAAAAAAGCCTCGGTGACTGAGAAGGAGATTAACAGTCGCCCCGAAGCGGAAAAAAACAGAACAAACATTTTGAGTCGACATAAAAAGAACAAGAAAGCATCCGCACACAGCCAAACACATATCCTTCCCTTTTTACAGTGCGGCTGAATCTGATGTGCACTGTAATCTCGATATGGGGGAGTAGGTCATTAGGCCAAGTCATGCGTCATATTTAAGCTTTTTTGTCTCTTCTGGGATCAAATGAAAGCATGAGTGCATTGTAAAATGCACACAATGCAAATTTATATCAATGTTTTATAATTCTTACTGCACCCTCGAAATGAATGTAACTGAAAGCAGAATTGCCCCACAGGTGAGTAGTAGATGACGTAATGAAATACAGTGTATTCAAATATTCAAGATCAGGTGATACTATTTACTATGTCAGTGTAATATTATATTCAATTTCCCTTTAAATATAAATTCATAACTTAAAGAATTCAGTAGTAAGTATAGGCTAAATTTGGAGTCTTGAAGTGTTTCTTATTACCTGATGGCCCAGAGCCACACACCTATGGGCAAAGGTTTTGGAGTTTTCAACTTGTGTTTGATAAATTAATATGCTTTTTTGGCTTGTAGTAATTTTACACATCAAATAGAAGCTGAACATTTTTCTTTCCATAACTACATAACTGAAGGACAAAAGTCCAGCTTTGGGAATAATGCCAAAGGTCACACATTTTATCCTCTTTTTGTGATGTTAGCACTCATCACAATCTCAGGAAAAATGGTATGAAACCTTTCAGGGGCAGGACCTTCTATTTCTAACAGTGCAGCATTTAAACCTCTCAGGTGTTTAAAGCATCCCTGGGCCAAAAGACTTTGAACATTTGCATTTAACCATAGCTTGGAAAAAATTATCATTATTTAGACAAAATCTTTATCGCAAGGAAGAAAGAGTGATGAACATGAAGCTATCATATAGCTGTTTTATAACAGCAAAATCTTTATAGGTATCAACTGAAATGTAACAGTTAAACAAAACATATCTTGGAACAATTAATTTCACAGTAGTTCTTGTGGAAATCTATTGGCAGCTATGAAAAGAGGAACATTTTAAAATTCTCACACATGATAAATCTGAATGTTTTAACTTAAAAACGTTATCTGGTTTTATTACAATATCATTTAACTTTTAGTAAGAGAACAGAACAATAATATATGTGTTAGGTTCAATAAACTTAAAAGCATCTTAAGGCAATCAGGTTACTAACTTTTTAGATTAAAACACTGAATCATTCTTACAGTGCAGTCAATACCAACTGAGAAATATTAGAGTCAGGACATGTTGTTTACAGCTTGTGTTTGAGTAAAGAGTGTATATTGTCAGAAAGAAACCTCCATTTCTTCATTTCTTCATTTTCCAGTCTCCATCCTTTTTTTTGCATAATTTGAAAATGCCAGCTGCCCTTTACATTATGTCAAAAGTTCATGATGAATGTACCAATAAAAATGGTCCAAAATTACATGGAATAAAATCTTCTTACATTGAAACCTGAAGGCTCTGGATGTTTTT